TAATTAGGCACCTGAAGCTGTTAGTGTGCAGTTGCCCATGGATGATAACACTTGGCACTTAACAACTTCTGAGCACTAGACCAGTGTTAACTAATTAATCCTCACAGTCCTCTTGAGACAGAGTTTAATCAGCCCCATTTTGCAAATGAGGAATGTGAAGCATAGACTGGTTAGATGATTTTTACAAATGATCAGTTGGTGGCAGCACAAGGGGAAAAAAAAGGAGTTCTTGGCAGTTTTGTGCTCATTGTCCCCTAGGGTATGCTGTCTTCTGAATCCACAGGTGAAAACCATGCTGGCTTCAGAGGATGGTCTTAAAGGGTGCCTATACACATACATTGAGGCTGCTCCAACATGCTGTAAAGTGCCCTGTACCCCTGCACCATGTGTATAAATGCCCAAAGTGACTGTTCCCTGGTACAAGATTTATATCGCCTATTTGCTCTGCTTTAATCTCTGGGAAGTTGCTACATCTTCTCACAGAAAGTCTAGCTTCCAGCGAGGATGGCTCATGTTTTGGATATGTGAGTTAAAGCTTCATGGAAAGCAGCAGGTGCTGCCACTGGAAAATCGGATAGTGACTGAGAGAAGTAGAAAGCCCTGGGGGAAAAATTACAAGATGTTTTCCAGCAAGACTAGTGAGTGAATTAGTTTCTCCTGGCCTTCCTGGAGGTCTCAGTACTGACAATAGTTCTGGTAAAAAAATAAGTGAGTATTGTTTGTGTCTCATTCTGGAATCACAGGAGAAGAAAAGATGAGGGCACCAGGGAATCTGTGAGAGGGCTTTGGGGAGCCAACTTGGAATATGGGAAAGTGCCACCAGTCACATTTAGCAGGAATAACGGGGCCAGAGTTAGCCACTTCTCTGCATTTTGCATAATATCAGGCTGCTCTTTGTGACCTTCTTTCCCGGCAAGAGAAGTCACTTCCCATGAATTATTTGAGTTGAGAACCTTTTCTCCATCAAGCATTTATCTAGGAGCATGTGTAGACTTTGAGCTGCTTTTTCAATTGGATATGGAACTGAAAGACTAAAACACACCAGTCCCACTGTCTTTGCATCTCTGTCTCACTGCAGACTTATGCTGTGTTTCAGAGTTCTTCATCTGTCAGCTTCTGCAAAGGACGGTGACAGCAATAGGAAAAAGCAGCTGTTCCAAGTGTTCTCCAGGAAAATGACTAAGCCATATTGGCTGTTATAATGGATGTGATTCCATATTCATATCATTAAAGGTCCTCAGATAACTTCTCTAGCTGTAACATCTTCCCTGTGAACTTGTTAAATCTTCTAATTTGAGCAAAGACCTCCACAGAAAACCTAGTGCTCTAAGAGTTGCGGTCCTCTGATAGCTTCTGTACTTTCCTCATAGTCCTTAGCAGTCCATGTCAGAATTCTTCCAATTAAAAGTTTTCTTCCTTCTGAAACAAAAAACTTGAAATTAACAATCCTAAGTGTACGGGTGTCTGATATCTAAATCTTAATTACATTCCACCTAATTAGAAGTCCCCCTGCATATCCAATACAATGCTGTTTGCTTGATGTAGCAAATTATTTTATAATGTTGAAGTTAAAAAGGTGACGTGTCCCCCAAGAGGCAGCTGCAGTTCAAGATTGGAGCATACCATTTCCCTGGGTGTTGCTTCTATAATAGCTTAGCATCCTTTGAGATAACCAATACCATACAATACATCTACATGACCAGAACATACATCTTGCATATCCCTTCCCTGGATGCCTCTTGCTGCCCAGACTGGCATCAAACCCACTTTATATTTAGAGTGAGAAGTTAGCCCTAGGATTTCAACTGAGTTCAGTCCTCCTTTATTTTGCATGCCCAAGAGAAGCTGCCATTTTAGCTAGAGAAACAACTGATCCCCAGGTCAGCTAAGTTCCTCTTTATATACATGTTTCTTACATTTTTCTGTCTCTTAAACCATCTCAGGATGTCCTTAAAGTCCAGTGCAAAAAAGGTCCTGAGTAAAATTATATCACCATAAGCCAGTTCCTAGGAAGTTTGTTTCCATATTCAAAGAGAACATAATATGTAGTCTAGACATGCTCAATCATCTCTTCAGATAACTAATCCTCTGATCCATTGTCTTAGAAAGTTTCATGTAGTCCATCCCCCAGGTGCCACTGTAAGATATTGTCCTATAAAATGTTTTCTAGTGCTCTTCTGATCCAGTGCAAGTTTAAATGATTTGCGTGATATGGCTCCTGTTCCTTCCCATTCTTATAGATATTAATCTTTTATTTTCTACTTCTTAATTTCATCCTGTTGCTCTTACTTATAGTCCTTGACCAATCCTGACTTACTGAAATCAGAGGCAAAGGAATGTTGGTTTAGACCTAATATCAGGCATACCAGGCAGCAACAACTTAAAAGGGGTTTTTACTACACTAACAGGCGGAACAGCAATGTGCCTTCACATGGCAGATTCTCCTGATAAAAACCCTGCTTAGGAAATGATCAATGGAAGCAACGTGTAGGCAGGGTAATTCTAGCCAGCTGGATGTGCCTCACATTTGCCTGTCCTAGGCCCTGCCTATCACTTAGTTCAAAGAGCATGGGGAAGGGAGGTATATGTTTGCAGCAGAAGACAGAGAGGGGAAGGGTTTCCTGATACCAAGTCCAGCAGGCTCTATGCTAAGTAGGCTAGATGTTCTATACATTTGGGTAAAGAACCTGGCACTGCCTGATCACTTGGGGGCTAGGGACAGGCATTACACAGAAACCAGTTTAAGTGCACTGAACCTGGTTGAATGTAGGCTTAACTGATTTGGGTCAAACCAGTTTATGCAATGTCCCAGACCCCTTGCTGGTTTAAGATAAACCAGACTCCCCCAGCATCCCAGCATGCTCTCTGGGCTGGTCTCTCTGCTCCACAGCAGGGCTGTCCCCTCCTCTCTGCTCCCTGGCTGCAGCTCCGGCAGAGACTTGCAGGCACAGAGCGTTTGCCTGTCTTCTCCCTGCTAAGCAGGGATTATTCCCCTACCCCTCTGCCTTACACAGATGGCTCAGCATTAGCTAGCATATCACATGCTAGTTACAGTCCCTGATGTGGCAGACAACAAAGGCAGACAGGCTTTTTGGAGCTAATCAACAGGTTAATGTCCATCTTTAGAAGAGCTGTTTAAGAAGAGCTCCATTAGTTAATGGAGAGAGGCTCTGTTTTCTTAATGGGTTGATAAACATTGAGTTAGGGGTGATAAACATTCCCTGGTGGGCAGCTTAGGAGTTGGGGAATAATAAGAGCATCCTGCCAGAGCCTGGCCATGCCCCACCCTCAGCACAGCCCTGTGGAAGTGAAGGAAAGGCTGCTCTAGCACCTCCCCACCCCCTGCTTCTAGCTTGAGCCACTGCAGGCATGTGCCTGCGTTTCTAGAATGAAAAGGGAATGTCTGTCCACTTTGAAATCAGTTCAAGCTTTGCAGGTTAGACTAACTTGTGAAGACTGAATCAAGTCAGGCTCAGACTTTTTGAATGTCTGTCCCTATCACAGAAGTTTAGAGTATCAAGGAAGGTAAAGGAGAGTTCCCTGTGAAAAGAAGAGAGAGAATGAGTCTTTTTCTGGGACAAAGTACTGGGGTATTTGTAAAGGCCTGAAAGCCCCAGGATAAATATTTTCTCTACCTAAATCTCAATACAATGTTCTGAGGGTCACTTTGCTTCTCTGGAGTGTCAGAGAGGTGAGTAGCAATTCATGGCAGCCCCAGCAAGGTGTTTTGTTCGTAAGTCCTTTCACTGATGCAGTTGCTTTGTCTAATGGGCAGTGTTCTGCTACACACAAGGGAAGGATAGGGGAGAGAGACTATTTCAGCAGGAGCCAGAGGTTGAGCTGATGCTGCTGAGCCAGGGTAATTTTGTACTGTCTGCAGGAATGTTATAACCTGTGTCCAGAGGCTGCCACAGACTTTCCCTAATGGTCCACATTACCAATTCAACTAATTGCAGCAATTACAAGAAGGAGTTGCTGCTGGGGAGAGACGCCATTACACTTCTCCCTAGCACACTGCAGTACATGCTGCTCGTTAATTAGACAAGAAGCAAAAAAACTACCAGCTGCAAACTGCAAGTAATGCACTGAAACTCAAAGGGCCAGAGACATTCTTCACTTGGCTCAAGCGTTAAAGTGGCAGACCTTCTACCCCGTTGGCGATACTACATCCATTACATTAAGACATTAACACTCCACTCTATGTTTAGCAACCAAACAGGTTTTGTTCTGTGTGGACGTACCTGAAACATTCAGCAGAACCATTGTACCTAGGTCAGTTAGCACTGCAGCAGCAGGTCTGGTCTATCTTGGTATGTGTGAAATATAACCCATTGCAACAGGTACAGGTGCCCTCAGTCTGAGTACAAATGGTGTGTAGCTACCTGGTATGCTTGGTTTTTTGATTGTGGGGAGGCAGGGGAGAGTTGCTGGGAGAGAAAGAGAAGGGAGCAGTACTTTCAGCTAAACAGAAAGTGCCTGTTACCTGAATTTGTCTGGTATGTTTGCCCATGCAATTAATGCATTCAGCCTGTATGTGCCTAGTATGTTGACATGTTCAACACATGGCATGTGTGCCTTTGCTTTGGGACAATATTGTATTTGCAAAACAACAGTCAGCATTTTAAGTAAACGTGCCTGGTTCTTTTGACTGTATCTGGGTCAGCTGAGTATGTGTTTTACTCAGATGTTCCTAGTACATTCAGTAGCACAGCACACACAGGTTAAATGGCACAGCAGGAACATTGTGCCTATACCTGCCTGAAATATTCAGCAGCACAGCACAAGAATTGTACATGATATAACAGAATCCAGCACTATGGAGGTACATTTGCATAGATATAACTGGAATGTTGGGCAGACGATCAACATTTTAAAAGATGAAACTTAAAACATGTCTGAAGGGGTAAGCTGCCTCTGTTCCAGCCTCTGCAACACCAATCATCTTAATACTTTCCTCCCTTTTTTTCCCCTCTTCTTTGCTCCTTTCTTTCATGTACCAGACAACAGATGACATCGTTTCATCAGCTGAATGTTCCAGCGATGACGAAGACTTCATTGAATGTGAGCCAAGCACAGGTAAGACAGGTCAGTCTCATTTTGCTTGCTTTCTTATTTCATTTGCAAAAAACAATACATACATATATATATATGTGTGTGTGTGAATGTATACATATATATCCCTATATATGTATATGTAATATGTGTGTATATATATCTATATACATATACATACATACTGTATATAAAATACAGACGTATACAGCCAAGCATCCGATCCCATGGAGTTGGCACTGAAAAAACAGAAATGTAATCACTTCTCAGTTAATGTAAAGCTGGCTTCACAGGAAGCCAAACATTCTGGAACCAGCCCATGATTAATTAAGAGTTAACAGTTGTGCTACAGATTTGTAGCAGTTATTGTGCTGGCTCATTTGGGGAGGAAAAATTGCTGTTATCCAAAGCAGACACTAAAGATTTAGAAAGGAGATAGGGGAATGCTTGAGAGAGAGAGAGAGAGAGAGAGAGAGAGAGAGAGAGAGATTGAGAAAAGAAGAAGAAGAAGCTAAAGTGGAGCAATAATGAATTGTCAATATTGTTTAATCCTCATTAATTGTTCTGAGAATGTGCCGCAAGAGTACATTTGTCCATGGGATTTGAATGCAGTTAACATGGTAAAATATTTATACTAATTTTGTTCCCTGTGTGCCCAGAAAACTTGGGGAGCACTAAAGCATGGTGAATGCAAAATTAGTATTAAGCCCCGCCATGTTATCTGCAGTGATGCTTCAAAATGTATCCACTGAAGAGTCAACTGGACTGTAGCCTTTTGAAACTGACTCACTTTCTCCTTTTCGACCCAGATACATTTTGATGGTTTGATGGCTTTTCTTTCTGGTGAGATATATATGATGTGTTATCCAGCAGGCAACTGTGATCTATTTTATTTCTCACAGACTTTCTCAAGTCTTCTTTTTGAGGCTTGCCATGAGTTAAGCATTTATATAATAGAGAACAGATATCATCGAATTTCTGTGTACATAAAAAATGGAGTTTGATTAGACTCTTATGTCCTTAACGGTGAAACACATAAATAGTTTGTTTAGTTTATTGTTTTTGTTTTGCTTTGTTTGTTCTTATTTTGGTTTATTTTTTTTCAAGTTATTTTTCTTTCTGCTAAAAAACCCCCCATAAAATGTTCTGTTCATAGTTTCTTGAAGCTTTTCGATTAATACAATAATAACAATAAAAGTCACCCAAAGCTAGTGCTTTCATATTTCTTATCCACCCTTCATATTCTGCCTGCATTTTTGTGTAGAACTTGGTCCTTCAATAACTTCAAATTGCTTTGCACTGTAGCTGGGAAATTCCACAGTGAAACAGGAACAAGGAAGCAGGAAATGCATTAAAAGACAGGCGGATACTAGCAAATTACATGGCCTCTGCCCTCTCTCCATCCTTTCAGATCAGTATAAAGGTCTTTGCATACAAGCTATACAAGTAAGTTGTTGAAAACTATGCCTTTAGCAGCTACTTCCATGATGATGAATTGTGCTGTGGAGACATCAGTAAACTGACTCATGACATCCGTGAATGACTCCAAATGCAAAGCCTCAAGAAGCAAGCTGCTAAGAAAAATTGCTTAGGGCAATGTTTTCATAAAGAACCTATGTGACTTAGGCCCTGACATGCTACACTTACTGTGCAATAACTAGCTAATTGCCAAAAAAAATTGGGTATCAAGGAACTGTTGATCCTCTGGATCATGGTGTACATGCAAGAAGTCTAGTTAAGTGCTTGATGAATCCATTTGTGGCTGACAAACCCAATTTGAGAGCGACACAGCTTGCTACAAGTTTCATAGAACCATATGTTGCCTGAGCTGGAGTCCAAGTTTACAGCACATTGCTTTCTTCTTTCTCACTTTGCTTCCATCCTCTGGATCAAAGCAGATTTGTATTATGCTGCACCCAGTGCCAGAAGTTCTCTCCAGATCAGACAGGAATCTACATGCTCCTCTCAGCTTTCAACATTGATGTTGAATGACTTCATATAATTTTTGTACACCTTGTGGTACTGCCATAGAGGGCAACCCTGCTTTCTAGAGCCACTTCAAATCTTGCTGTACAAAATATTCATGAGGATACAGTCTCCTCTCATTCTCCTGTCATGGCCAAGCCATGACAACTGCCTCCTTCTGATAGTGGTTTCTAAGTGTGTCAGTCCTGCAAAGTATTTATTTACAGGCCAAGTAATTATTGCAACTTAAAATTGGCCAGCCAGGCAAAAAAGTGGTCAGCCAGCCACAAAGATGTTGCTCGAAAAAATGTAGAACCTTTTTGTGGCTGCTTTATATCAGCTTTAATTTGAACGTATAGGATGTCACACACAGAGTGTTAGTCTTTGGTTGGACCCTTCAGCATTCCAGGGTAGACTGCCCTCTCTCCTCACCTCCTTCCTGCAAGGGGACTGCCTGTGACTCATGCTGAACTCTCCTTCCCCAGGGTGCCTCAGCATATATCATGACTTATCATGCCTCTTCCCTTTCCCCAACCAGCCTTCAAAGCTGCTTCTTTAAGGAGCCATTCTCACTCCGTGAGAAACAGAGTGTAAACAGACATTCAGCATGATATGCTTTACTTACACACAGTTGTAATCTACAGCAGGGGTGGTTGGATTTTTTTTGTTTGGAAAACACATACACAAGCACCTCCTAAGGTGTTCCAGGAGAGTTTGAGCTCTGCTGCTTTTGCCCCCAGCCCTTCACATCGGTCTCCTCTACTCCATGCAAGAGTTAGAGGAACAACTTCTTCACCCAGGGGAGAGGTCAGAGCTTGCTTCCTATGTCTTGTTTTTGAAAATCCCACCGTGGACCTATCTTTATCTTCAGGTCCCTAAATACCTTTACATATCTGGCCTTTAGGTCCCATGGACAGTCAGTGGAACTTATTTTCCTAAATCAATTGAAGTGCTATTTAAAATGTCGCTGAAATCCTCTTTTTCTGATACGCTTCATTAGTAAAACACATAACCCTTGCTAAATGCTTCACTGAACAGGGTATGATGACCCATTGGAGTTGATGGAGGCCCCTGGAATTTATACTGGCACTGAGCTGTTGCTGCCCAGACAGTGTATGAGTCATGGCCTGTGAGGTAGCTTTTGCTGAACAAATGCACTTACATATTTCGAGTTAAGCCCTGCTTACAGAAGCACTGGTTTACAAAGTCAGTGGAGAAGAATGGTATAGAGAGCCTTTTTCCCTCTACATAAGCACCAATATTAAATCAAGCCATCAAGCCCTAGTGCTAGGAGAAGCAGATGGAGAATGCAGTGTCCATGCTTCCTGTCCATGCAGGATGGTCAGTGCCTTCCATGATGATGGATCCCTGATGCAATCCTTCCTGCTTAACAGAACCCTGTTGTGGTGGGTGCATGGGGGACGCCTTCATACTCTTCCTCTTCCCAAGCTAGAAGAAGGGCAGGCAAGCTCTTTCAGCTGCAGAACAGAATGACTCACCCTAGGTCAGAGGTATCTGGGAGCTACCATGGCTTGTCTCTTCGATGGTCCAGGGAGAACACCCACAGCCAAAGTGCCTGGCTACTGAATGGTGCTGAAGTCCCCACATCCATGAGCTGGATCCAGTGGTTCTGTGGTCCAGAGTAAGCCTGCAAGCCACAGGTTACCAACACCCGAGCTAGAAGATTTGGCTGTTTGCAGGGATCTGTGGCTTTAATGGATACATTAGCAAGAGAAAAGAAGCCAATTGTTTCACTTGTGTTTTCTGGTGTTTTTTTATCAAGCTCTTTTATAGTTGCTTCCTCCTGTTCTGCTGACAGGTCAGTGTGTTTTACACCACCCTGTGGCTTTCCTGTTCAGTTTTGCAGCAAATTGGAAATTAAATGACTAACCCAGTTCAGGCTCCTTTTTGCTGCTCTGATAATATGCAGTCTTAAAAGCCCTTGAGCTTGTGCCAAACACCAGGACTTGGCCTCATGTCACCCTCAAAGCTACGATGCAGTAACACAAAGGTGACTGAACTCCCTCTTGCAACTGTGAGATGCGATATGACACTGCTGTTCAATACCCAAGCACAGTGAGATAAGGCAAAGAGAGTGTTTCATCCTGAAAACTGAAGACTTTCTGGCCTCAGTCAAGTCAGACTTAAATCCTCAGATCCAAATATATGCCTCTGGTTTTGGCACTGGGTCAGATCCTTCACCCCACCAAGATTCAGATTCTGGTTTCAGCATGCTTGAAAAAAAAGCAGAAGAGTCAGCCACGAGATTGCTTCTATTTGGAGACAAAAATCTTGTAAGAACCTCCTGGCAGATTTTAGCTCCTTTGCCCCATAGCCTGATACTTTCTTAAATCCAAATGCAAATCCCACTGTGCAGCTAATCTGAATGCAGATAACTCTACCCTGCTTCCTTAAAGGAATATAATGGGTAAAAAAAGAAATAACCAAACTCAGTTGCAACCAGCATGGCAACTGAGCCCCTAATTTAAAACCCAGTTTATAACCCTGAGGCTGAGGGGGGATCTAGTGGCCTGTTACAAACTAGTCAGAGGGGACCAGCAGGCACTGGGGAAGTCCCTGTTCCCCCGAGCATTGCCAGGAGTGACTAGAAATAACGGTCACAAGCTAGCAGAGGGTAGGTTTAGGTTAGACATCAGAAGGCGCTATTTCACGGTCAGGGCGGCTAGGGTCTGGAACCAACTTCCAAGGGAGGTGGTGCAGGGTCCTACCCTGGGGATTTTTAAGAGGAGGTTAGATGAACACCTTGCTGGGGTCGTTTGACCCCAGTACTCTTCCCTGCCATGGCAGGGGGTCGGACTAGATGATCTTCTCAGATCCCTTCCAACCCTAGAAACTATGAAACTATGAAACCCTGAAAATTCTGTCCTGGTTCTGATGTAGCTGAGAACCATCTTTTGTATAAATTCATATACCTAAGTGAGTGCACCTGAAAAGGGATAGCACCATAAATTAGTATAATAGGAAGCTTACCAAAAAGCATGTCAGAAAAGCCATTGTTGTTCTAACTGTAGATCCCTTTTGCGTTCTGTGTAAAGTCT